TCCAGGCGTCCGTCAACGCAACGCCGCACGGATGTATATACTCGACAAAATCCTGGAACTGAGTGAATGAGGACACAGACAGGCGACAGACAACAACATGCACGGCTCTGATGAATGGCTGCAGCCATGCCATCCTCTCTCCAGGCTTAGTTACTTCCTTGGGGTGCGAAGGGTCGCGAAAGAAACTCCCAAAGCAGATCGGATTGGCGTGGAGCAGAAGGCAGTCGAGGTCGTCTCGAAGCTTGACGACGCTGTGGGGGATGCTGCTGATGTCGTTGACGCGCAGGTCGATCACTCTGACCGCGGGAAGGTCCCCTATCCATTCAGGCACCTCGGAGATGCGGCTGAACCCCAGAAACATGAACCTGCGTTGTTGGCACACGAACCAAGAGAGAGAGAGAGAGACATGCATGGAAGATATTCCCCATCCACACCAGATAGAAAGCCTCACTCGAGATTCTGTAGCTTCCGCAGCCCTTTAGGCACCTCCTGCAGACAAGACCGAAACACACAGATAAGCGCACACACACTAAAAAGCGATTGTTGCATCCCACCTCATCTCATCACCTGTAGCTCAGATCGGCCGCCCATGAGATATCGCAGGTGCGTCTGTCTCTCTAGCCCCTGGCTGCTGAGCTTCTTGATGGGGTGTCGGGGAAGTATTGTGAAATCCTCCTCGGAATCGCCCAGGTATGTCACGTTATAACGTTCCGTGAAATTCTTCTGAACACCGTCCGTGGCATTCCAGCAAGCACCGTCTGTGCCGTTCACGCGAAATCTGCACGGTGGAATTATAGGACTTATAGGACGGGCGACCGGCCTGATCTCGGGGTAGATGGCCACCAGCATGTCCTCGTCGGGGGATGCGCCAGTCCCGGCGTTGGCAAATACATCCATCGTGCCGAAGCCAATCCCCTGAGTGGGAGAGACACCGGGATGCCGCGCTGTTGACACCGAAGAACCCTGGTGGGTACCTCGAGAGTGGAGAAGAATTCAATGGCGTGGTTGAGCCTGTCGGCTGAGGGCTCCGACGGCTCCTTGGCGTCCAAGTAGACACAGTTGCACGGCAGCTGGAGGGTGAACAAGGGCCCCAGTAAGGGCCATGTCTGATGGGCATCGCACAGGAGAGCAGAGAGCCAGCTGGTTGAGAGAGAGAGACTTTATTTTTGTTGTGGATCTTTCGGGTGACCTTCAGTACGCACTGGTCCCATCCCTTGATATTGCGTTCGTTGCAGTAGAAGGACCCCCGCGCCCGCTGCACCGTCTCAAACACAAAATACCCGAGCGCCAGAGCCAGCAGGAGCACCATGAACGGCAGCAAAATGTCTTCCACCAGCTGGACAAGACTCTTCCGCCTGAAGGTCTGAACGACGCTTTCCTGCGCCCGTTCGACGCCTGGCAAGCCCCACATAGAGAAGGTTGACCTTTTTGCTGCGTCTGCTCCATAAGTGGTGGCATACCTTTGGCATCTGCCGGAAAGAAAGTAACGTTACCTCGGTTTCTAGCGGGCGAGGTGGGCACGTGTGACGGTGTCGCTGTGGATGGCGGGGTGGATGGCGGGGTCATCGAGATGGCATCAGGCTGACTGGTAGATGGCTGGCTTTCTGCCCGAATGCTCCGCGCTCTGCAGCTGGCGGCCGCGTGGGCACTGTCACCGTGTCTCATGGACAGCGCTATCGCCTCTGATTCAGTCTCTTCCAGGAAGTCCTCTACATTCACAATCGCGCCCAGCTGGTCACCAATGCGCATGTGCTGCATAGCAACACCACCGCCAAAGGCACAAGAGAAACGCTGATCTCTCTCTATGTCTCTGCGCCTCCATTGCCTGTTCGCACCGGCGCGATAGAGTTTCGTGAAGCCATGGCCATGGACGGCACACGTATGGGGTTGAGCCTTGAGAACAAGCCCTTCGGAGTCAAGCGGGACCGTCCGGTCGACACTGGCTGTGGAGCTTTGGTCTCTCCGCCGCTCCCCGCGGGAGAGCTCGGCGGGGCCACACTCGCCCTCATCTGCGGCAGAGAAATGACGACGGCCGGCCGGATGCCGCCTGGGGTAGAAGCGGGGCTGACACGCGTCTGGGGGGTGCCCTTGCGAAACGTGGCTGGTGAGCTCGCCCCAGACGACAGGTGTCCCTCCTGTACGTTGACCCTCAAGAGTCTCGGAGGCTTGTCTCCTGGGTGTGGTGGCGCAGGTGGGGAGGCTGGCAGGGTTTGGGAGTGATGAGGGATGGGGGAGATGATGCCGCCGACAGACCACCGCTTCGACCTCCGGCTGGACCCGGCATCGCTTGCGTCAGCATCCGTGCCAGTCGGCGACCAAACCGACGAAGGGGTATACCCCGGTGTCGTAAGGCTGATTTGAGGGGGTGCGTCTGTTGGATTCCTGCCGGGACCGGAGGCCTTGACCGACTCTCTTCGCCGCAGTCCCCAGGTGGATTGCGGGATGCCTTCCCGTGGGATGCTCTTACTGGCGGGGGTTCCGTCGACTGTCGACAACGGGCTGACCGGTGACCTCTCGGCAGGTAGACTAGCGATGGGGCTTCTGAGGCTCTGTCTTCCAGGAGTCCAGGGCCTGGATCGTGTGCCAAACCCACTTGTAGGCCGTCTGGAGTACACCCGGCAACTCGTGATGGCCTCGTCGGCGTCGGCCATGACCTTCTTCCACAGAAGAAAACCCTGCCAGTATGGCAATAGAGATACAAATTGCAGCAAGCCATCTGTTGCGTCTCTGTCCGTCTCTTCGCCTCATTACCTTGCAAAGCAGCAGCCCATTCAGTGTCCTCAGCTCATGCAGGGCAAGGCACACTGGTACGAAGGTCGCCACGAAGTCAATCGGGCCACGAGAGTGCAGGTGGGCGAGCGCCCCGAGGGACATGTCGAGCGACACCGATGTGACCACATCGTGGAAGGAGTACATGAAGCCGAGGGAGAAGCTGGCGATCGTCGCGTAGCCCCGCTTTCGCCGGAGGAGCATGACCACGCACATGAGGGCGTGCATTAGGATGATGAACGTCAGGGAGATGCGGATGTGTGCAAGGCCTGCGGGGATCTCCTCCCCGGTTGCGGGCTGGATGCCGTCCATAAGGAGAGAGCGGTAGGTCTGGAGGAGCATCTCGAGAGTCTCCTCGCCACACATCAGAATCCAGTACAGCTTCCTGTATGTTTAAGAGACACAAAGGTGATGGATGCACTGAGACATGGAGAAGTTCTATCTCTACCCATTGATGCCGAAGTAGCGGAACCTGGAAAGCGCAAGATAGAGAAGAACGAGACGACTCTTGAAGTGCTGGGTTCCTTATGTGACAATGTGCTCTCACCAAATCAGGAAAATTCGCATCTGTGTGTGGCTGAGCCACACGCGGAATGCCTTGGTGAAGGTGACGGACTCCTCGGTGGTCGACGTATCTCCATCCTCTCCAGACCTGCTTTGAGTGACGATCTTGCTGTTCTTGAGACTCAGCGCCACCGACGTGTTGTTAAGTTTGTCATCGCACTCGAATGACTTCAAATATCGCCGCCATCGCTTCTGCTTCCACGCTGATACCGTCGATCGCCACCAAATGGTGTGGTTGAGGAAGATCCAGGTCGCGACAACGGCGTACGACAGCCAAAATGCCGTGTAGATCCACGATGGTGTGTCGTGGCGAACGCGGATATGGTTCGTCTGCAAATCGGCCTCGACGAACTCAGATATCGAGATGAAGCGAGGGAGGCACTCGCCATCGTAGAAGACTAATCGAAAAAGGGCACACAGAGAATCATACCTGCGCCCATTGGAATTTTCCCTCTCCCTTTCTTTCACTTGGCGGAATTTCTTCAAGCCGCTCTGCTCCAGCATTTAGCAAGCCAATCCCAATGAGCAGCAGCATGAACACTATCATGATATGGACGAGCAACACAATGATATGGATCAACATGAAAGAGGTGGTCGTCATGGTGCCTTTTTGAGGCTCGTACCTACCTGTTGTCACCAGATTGACGACGGTCGTGACCTCCCTGAAACGAGCGGCCTCCAAGGTGGGGTCCGTTCCATTGACCCTGAGCTTGAAAGGCCCTTCGAAGAAAGCTCCCTTGCTCCTGGCCTCGCTCTCCTGCGACGACTCCTCTCGGAGCGGGCGGATGCCGCTGCCGTCCAACGATGTTGACTTGCTGGCCGTGTCTGTGCTGCCGAGTCCATCACCGAACGTGGCCGTGACGTTGATGCGTCCGTGGCTGCCGCGGCGCCTCAGGCGCTGATCGGCCGTGTCAGTCAAATCGTTGAGATGCTCCTCGAAAGCTGCGCAATCATTCAATGATATGACATTTGTTATGAAACGAGGAGAGATGAATGCGTTGCTTGTGCCTTGTCACTCACCCGTTTGTATTCGCGCATTCATGAGGTCATCCGATGAGAACATCTGGGCAAGACCTGCCCGCGGCCGAGTTCGCCCCGAGGGACCGGCAGAGGGAGGCATGTCCACCGTGCTTGATCTCTTCGTCGAAGACATGGCTGTTCCCTGCTAGCTCTCTGGGGGCGGCGTGGGGGGTCGGCCGTCTCAAGCTCTTTTCCACGTCAGAGAGATCCCGATGACGAGTGCTGACGAGGATCCCGAGAAAGTCGCCTTCATCAAGGACTCGCGCCGCATCTTCCACATCCAGTGGAAGGACGGCCGGGAAATGGTGGAGGAATACGACGCCAAGACGGACGAACTCCTGGGTGGGTAACTCACGCCCACACACGGCCGCAGAGGCAGAGGATGGCATTCATGTGGTGGCGGCGTTTGCTGTGTGCATCAGTTCGGAAGGTGCGGCAGAAGTCGCGGCTCGGCGCAGAGGGCAAGGTACAGACGACGCCATTTAATGGATGGATGGATGGAAGTTCCATCATATCTTTTCTTTGTTGTCTTCGCCCAGTGGGAATATGAGATCGGAATGCCGCCTTCGGTCAGCCATTCTCTCTTCATGGACAGAGAATGCACTGTCTTCGGTCGGCTGCGTTGCGTGTGGTGCACCAGCGCCCTCCCGCAGAGACTGAGCTACTAGTGCCGTCATCGAACAACCCCATATTCTCAAGGAAGGACACACAGGTAGGTCAAAGGAAGCAAGAATGAATCACCATCGGCTTCTGCGGGTCGGTGCAAGGTGCAGCGGCCTGTTTTGTCTGTCCCTCCCTCCAGGATTGTTTCCAGTGGCGTATTCGCAATTTGTCCTTCCCATCTGACGTGTTCAGCCTGTCCATTGACGACGAGACGCAGCAGATACTGGTCAAGACATCCAACAAAAAGTGAGGGAGAGAAGGGAAGGAAACTCCCACTTTGACGCGTAGGTGTTTGTCGGTGTGTTGTGCAGGTATTACAAGAGGATAAGTGTGCCCGACCTGGCCCGCGTGTCGCTGCCGCTGGACCCATCGCGCCTCGAGTGGAAGCACATGCACAACACGCTCATCATATCGGTCGGTACCTTAACGCTTCTGCCCGTTCCCACCCACCACCCCTGTCTGTGTGTGTGTGTGCGTACGTGTGTATGTGGCATGTGTAGTATCGGAAGCCGACTGAGGTGCGCATGATGGAGGCGCGGCACCGGCGTGAGGCCAAGGAGAGGACAGTCAAGGTGCCCCCCATGTTTGAAGAGATGGCCAAAGCACTCAAGCAGCACTGAGGGAGGGAGGGAGGGAGGTCAGCGTGTCCACCTGTACTGCTGGTAATATGGATGGTTGGGCGACTCCTGTGAGTGCACTCATGCACGATTTGCATCATTCACGCAAATACCGGGCTGTCAAAGAGTCGATATTCCTTCAGCACATGCACACATCAATGCATACACAGATTCGCGCACACACATCTATGTACGCCACCCACTTACCCACCCACCCACCCACCCACCCAACGACCCGCCCGCAGACCGATCCACCGGCCAGAACGAGAAGCTTAGCACACGGACTAACGGCACGTACAAAACACGCACGCATCTCGCACCCACCCATCTAGCGACCAGCCAAACCAGCCAAACCAGACAGTAAGACAGTGAGACAGTGAGTGAGTGAGATAGCTGAGCGGTGAAAAATTACACACACGGCAGCCAGCCAGCCAGCCAGACGGACCGAGTTGAGAAAGCAAGGAGGAGAGCGAGGGAGGGAGGGAGGGAGGGATATGATGGGCTGGACGTCGTCGTGTTGAAAGGGCCAAAAAACGTCGCGTGAATGCAATGCACTTGGGTGGGTGGGTTCATGGACAAGTCAATCGATCCCTCGACACGTGACGGATATATGGGTGGGTGGGTGGGTGGGTGGCTACACCGTGCGTCAGGGGTGAATGCACGGCGTGTACGTCTGCATACGTGGGTGGTCGGATGGATGGAACCAAACCAAACCAAACCCACACCAAACCACTTGCCGTCCGCACGTCAGTTGCCGCCCTGCTGGGGTGGTTGCGGCAGCCAAACGACGATACATGTGATGTCTGCTCACACACACATCCCCATACACACAGAGAGAGAATAAATGGGCCAGGTGTCGAGGTGCGCACAGCGTGATGTGGCGTACCGTCGACGACATTCTCCTCTTCCGCAACCCACCGCCGCCACGCCTCATACGCCAGCTGCTCTGCACAACACACACACACACACACACACACACAGGCATCAGGACAGGTGAGCCACACACGCCAGGCGACCCCAGCCAGCTCACCGGTGGCCTCTTGTACGCCTTTCCGCGCCTTCTTGGCGATGACGTCGATGGCCTCCTGGCTCGAAATGAACTCCCACACCCCGTCACTGCACACCGTGAAGAACTGGTGGCTCGAATCTAGAGACACCTCACTGCATCCACCACAGCACACACACCAAACCATTACGGCTCTTTGTTGCATTGCATTGCATGGCGTGGGTCTGGCTGGCGACTCACGTGACGTCAGGGTCGGGGATGACGCCCACGCTGCTCCCAACTGTGTCCCCAATGGCCCGTGACATTGCCAGACCTGATGGATGGTATACACAGACACAGACACATACCATGGCATGGCGCCCATGTTTTGGTCGGCTGGCTGGCTGGCTGGCTCTGCTGACCCACCCCACCTACCAGGGTACATTTTGCCCTTGACAAACACTCTGTGGGGTATGTCGCCGTCCAGACGACGCACCTCACCACCTGCACCCATCCCATCAATGGCACACATGCATAGGCGATGGCCAGCATGGCACGGCCTGTGTGGTGCAGTGTGTGACGCACCCACCTGACGAGACTATCCTTTTCTTCTCATCCTCCCGCGTCGGCTTGTGGTCCTGCGTCAGGTTCTGCGCCACTAACTTCTTGCCTGACACACAGGAGAGAGCGGCGGGTGTGTATTCCAATGTTGCCTCAGTGTGTGTGTGTGTGCGTGGTCGTGTTGTTTGTTACTGTTGTTGGTCTTGACGCCGAGGACGGCCCTCGAGTCGCCCACGTGAGCCACGTACAGCTTGTTGTCCTTGTGGATGACCACAGTGCCCGTCGTGCCGCTCAGCGCACAGTCGAAGCCGTCCGGCTGGTTGGCACGCTGCTCCAAGGCTATATGCACCTGATGAATGAGGAAGACGCATACCGATCGACACACACATGGGTGTACTGTCCGCCGTCTCTCTCTCTCTCTCTCTCTCTCTCTTTTCTCTCTCTGTGTGTGTGTTTGTGTGTGCGTATGTGTGTGTGTGTACCTTTCTGAATGCTGTCTTGAGGCACTGTCCGGGGTTGTCGTTGAAGAGTGGGTCGGAGAGGAGGATCCGCGGCAGGTTGTGATGCACAAAACCACTCACGTCATGGCCAGACGGACCTGTGAATCCAATCCACATACAACACACACGCAGCTGTACAGATGAGCACGAAGGCGCTGTGACTGCTGTGCGTGGCAGGGGGGCGCACCATGGCCATCGAACACACCATACATACCCCAATCATCGACCCTGCAACAAGCAAGCCGAGCAAGTCCACTGACTGACTCATCAGAACTGCTCTGCTCTGCAGGAAGGGGCAGGCAGTCAGGCCCGAGTGCACGTACCTGAGTATGAAGAAGTCATCCTGGTTGGGGCTCTCAGGCTTCAGCCCCTTCTTGCACGCGTAACCGATGCCGACCTCCGCCAACGTCTTGGCATTCAATGCATCGCCACACACCTCCATCTGCTTGTTCTGGACACACACACAGCCAGCCACAAAGGGACGCCTTCGTCACGCGCCTCCCTCCCTCCCCTCCTCCCTCCCTCTTAGCTTACGTCGAATCCTCTCTGTTGCTCTGTGGCCGGGCTCCCAAACACGCTCGCCCTTCTGCCCTCCCCACTGCTGGACGGCGGCAGCAGGGCGAAAATGCTGCTGTCGACACTGACATCGCCAATGGTGCCCCGCTCCCTCTCCTCTTCCCTGTCGTCGCCCCCGGGCACCGATGGCTCGGCGTGGCTGACCGACAGCCGCCGGCGGGCGGGGCGGTGGTGGGTCCCGTTGTTGGCCACAGTAGGCTGCTTGTTGGCGCTGGGAGTGCAGCCCATCGAACAAAATGATCAAAGGAGAGTAAAATAATGAGGAGATTTTGCCGCCTCTGCTTGTTCCGGGTCCGAGGTGCGACTTCCTTCAGCTCGCAATTCCCCCCCTCTCCCCCCCAGTCTCCCTCCCAAGGAGATGCCGCCACGTGGTCGGTTGCAGCGTCCTGCAAAGAAGCGTACGCCCCTGGTGCACACGCTCACCATCGACAAGAATCGCAGATCCACTGTCGGCAGCAAGCGGAGCACTCACACATCGGTCCCTGCTGATTTCGGCAGTGCAAGGAACCTCCGATGGCTGGTTGAGAGCGGCAGAGGGGCGAAGGGGCGGCATTCAACTCGTCAGCTAGGACCAGAGGCGCCTCTCTGGGTGGATGTGGTGTTTGGGGCGCTGGTTGTGGTCAACTCCATTCTTATCGGCGCGGAGACCGACCTTAATAGAGAGTGAGCCCCGCTCGCTGCTCTGAGTCGAAATCTGTGTCTGTCTCGTGTGTGCTCTCTACCTACCTATGCAGTCGTCGTGCGGATGTGTCGTCGGCTCCCGTCTGGTATGCGGTTGAGAGCACCTTCCTGGCCGCCTTCTGGCTGGAGGCCATCATACGCCTCGCGTGGGGACGGAAGGGCTACTTCAGAGATGCATGGAACAGTGAGAACTCACATAAGATCGATATCGATTGCAGATTTATTGTTATCTCTCTGCTGCTTGGTCAGTGTTTGACCTTGTGCTGGTGTCTCTGTCATCTGTACACACGTGGGTAATCCATGCCTGAATGCATCAGCCCTCTCATCTCGCCAGCCACGAGTCCGCTTTGTACCCTTTGTCTCACTCAGGTGGTCACCCCGATGGCCCTTAACGTCCAGCAGAACGCCCTGTCGTGGATCGTGGTGCTCAGAGCGTTGCGGCTCTTGCGGATCGCCCGTATTCTGCGAGTGCTGCGCTTCACGAAGGAGCTGTGGCTGCTGCTGAGGGGCTTCACAGGCTCACTCCGGACGGTCTTTTGGACGTGCCTGCTGGGCGTAATTGTCATATACACATTCGCTATAGTGTATGGTGGGCGGCAGGAGCAGAGACAGATGCCATTCATCCATAGTGGTTCTGAGATTGTCTGTCGTTGCCTGTCAGGCTGACTGAGTTTGTGTATGATTTCAACGCACTCGAAAGGAACCCTGAGCTGTTTGACCATTGGGGCACTGTGCTGCGGTCAATGTGAGTGATGAGTCATTTGCACGTGGATGTTCACAGAGGGCAGCGTTTGAGGCACCTGTCCTGTCACGTGCACGTGTGTGCAGGTTTTCGCTGTTTGTGTTGATGACGCTCGAGTGGTCAGAGATGGCTTGCGACCTCATGCAGGAGCTGCCGTGGGTGTGGGTCATCCTTCTCGTCTACCTCGCAATATCGTCCTTCGCAATACTCAACCTAGGTACACCGAATGACTGACTCATGGCTGATGTACCTGATTGTGTGTGTGTGGCTGGGTAATCAGTTGTGGGCGTGATATGCGAGTCGACTCTCTCTGGCGTCAGGTGAGACCAGCAGCGGCCGCGGACACACTCATTTGGTGCCGTGTGTGCATTGATTCAGCTTGTACAAGAGGAAGAGCGTGCCCGTGAGGAGGCCCAGCAGCCTGTGCTCGAGGCGGGACTGCGAGAACTGTCCAGACTCATGGACACTGACGTATGTATGCGGACCTGACAATGGGAACCAACGAGCACAGACACACATTTGACCCACAGACGCTTTGTGTCTCGTCTCTCTCCCGGACAGGACGATGGCTGGCTGACTAAAGAGGAGCTGCGCAACGGCCTAAAGAGCAAGCTTGTAATCGCACGCAGAATTGTGCGGCATTGGTCGATCGCTCTGTGTGTCTGCTACCATTACTCTCATGCTGCAGGTGGTGAAGCGTCTCCGCAATTTGGCGGAGGGCATGGATCCCGTGCAGCTCCTCTCCATACTCAACGCCGAATTCGACCAACGGTACCATACACACACAATCGCGTCAATGTACTCATTGCATGCGATCAAAAATGTACGTCTTCCAGGCTCTCGTCTCCCGAATTTGTCAACAGCATCGTCAGAATGCTCTCAGAGGTACGTGCACACCGACGGAACACAGACGGACACGGCCAATGGGTGGGTCTGCAGGCCAAGAGCATGGGCCTGCTGCTGCTATTGACACACTCACGTGCCATCAAGCTAAGGATCCTGCACATCGAGAAGAGCATCGGCAAATTCGCAGAACACGTGACGCGAGACGTGAGTGAGCCAATGCGAACAAACACGTCATCTTTCTCCATGCGGAATGCAGCGACGCGCATTTGTTTGTCTGGTCAGCTTCTGCCCCACTTCGAGATGCCAATTGGCTTCTTCGAGGATACTTGGAGAGAAAACAAGCGCGCGTCTCACAGGCACTCAACCACTCGTGCGTCCCGGCAGCCGAGAGAAGGCCGGCGATCCGCTAGGCAGTCGGTGCAGGGAGAGGTATAGCCACCAGCACACATACACACACTACATTCCTGCCATTCCTGCTACTATCTGTCATGTCCAGAGAGCCGCTATGCCTGGGCCCCTGCAAAAGAAGAGGAAGACCAAAAAGCCGAGGAAAAGACACTTCGCTCAACGAACTGCGACACCGAAGGCCGCTCAGCCGAGAGACGAGTCCCCGCCACAGGCGGAATTTCTGCCTTGGACACTTCGGCGTGTGCGCTCTGACGACGTGTTCGTGGCGAGCTTCGAGCAGCCCGTGACGTCCGCTGATGAGCAACGAAAGGAAGAAAAACACGATCCACATGGAAAGATGCGGGCATTCGGACGAGCCAGCCTGCCTGACGTCCCAACGTTCGGCCTGCAAAAGAGCCTGTTCGAGACACAAGGAGGGCCCGCAGCGACAGTGACGCCTCTCCGGGCGCTGCACCGGCCACCAGCGCTGGATGACTCCAGCATCAGCGTCAGTGTGAGCAGCCAATCTCGCAGCCTCACGGTCATGACCCCTCAGCTGGGCAATGGGGGGCAGATGCTGGTACGGGAAGGCAAGACGGACAGCCGGCGATCCATCCCCTCCACGCCCACGCCACATCCGGAGATGCCTATGTCTCCAACTGCTTTATCCATGGTCACGATCCCTCGGTTCCAGTCGGCCACGTCACATAGGGCAGTCAGCAGACGAGAGAGAGACAGAGACGGCTCTGCGGGTGGGTCTCGGCGCGGGAGCTGGATACGGTGGGGGATGGGGGAGGACGGCAGTGAGGGCAGCGGGAGACGAGGGCCTTTCTCACTCATGGGGTTCTTCCATCTCATGATGAGGCGTCGCGACTCTGCTTCGAGTGAAGGCGTCAGCGGGATGTTAAGACAGGCAATCTGCGTCCATTTGATGCCGGTGTGTATGTGTGTCGTGCCAGAGAAGTCTGTATCGGGGATCCAGCCGTGCAACAACAACCGACAAGTCCACAGACAAGTCTTACGTGCAGTGGAAGTCCATGCGTCGGCCTGAACTGGCGCTGAGGATCGCATTCTCCCCCAAGTTCGACCTGTTCTTCGGGCTGCTCATCCTCCTCAATGCAAGTCTGTCAAGGAGGGGAGCCAAAGGAATGTGTGTATGGATGTCGCCCTGTGGTTTTGGTGGTTGTCGATCAGTTGTGATTGGCCTAGAGACGGACTACAATCCGCATAATGGCGGCGATCAATGGGGCTGGTACATCGGAGAGATGCTGTTCAACGTGAATTTCATCATTGAGTTCGTGATCCGTTTCTCCGTCTACTCGTGGTACTACTTCCACGATCTCTCCAACACTTTCGACTTCTTGCTGGTGGTGAGCTGAGGCTGTGGAAGCGGCCGCCACCTCGTCTCATCCTGCCTGTCTCTCTCTGCGTGTCAGCTGATTGGTGCATTGGATGCATTTGTGCTGACCTGGGCGGTTGATGCCGATGCACTTCGCTTCTTCGGTGTGCTCAGGTAAAAGATCCGCTGAGATCTTTGCGAGAATGACATCTATGGCCCGTGTGCATCATCAGGGTGGTGCGTTTGCTGCGGCTGGCGCGTGTCATTCGTCTGTTCAAAATATTCAAGGAGCTGTGGCTGCTGCTCGCCGGATTGAAGACGGCCATGCGCACACTGCTGTGGCTCAGCATCATGCTCGTGCTCATCCTGTACTTCGCTGCTGTCTTCCTCACCATATTTGTCGGTGAGACACCACACACAGATGAACACAGAGAAATGTCGGTGTGTGCGTGTCTGGCAATGCGGTTCAGGCAAGGAGGACTCGTACGATGACGAGATTGAGGATCGAGACGAGCTGTGGGGCACCATTCCTCGGTCGATGTTCACCCTCTTCGGTATCATGACACTCGACGAGTGGCCCAGAATCGCACGAGACATCATTCATCTGCAGCCCTGGGTGAGCGAGTGGGCTAACAGATATTGATAGACAGCGTCAGCAAGTGCCCTCCCCTTCTGCAGCTGTCGCCGTTCTTCCCCCTGTACATCATGGTCACATCTTTCGGCATCATGAACGTCGTCATTGGCGTAAGAACTGCACACAGGAGGAGGCACAAATGCGTCCCTATCTGGATGCCTGCAGGTTATATGTGAGAACTGTCTGTCGCTCGTCAAGGAGCAGAATGAGCAGCTTGCCGACAACGAGTCCGAGAGACAGCTGCGGCTGCGAGAGGCACTGCAGCTGCTGTTCAGCAGACTCGATGAAGATGTATGCATATGTAGCATGGGATGGGCATCAAAGAGACCCTTTGTGCTGTACGTGTGTGTGCAGAGTGATGGACTGGTGACGTATGCCGACCTGATCCATTGCAAAGACGACCTGGCGGTGACCTTACCACACAGACCCACCCACGTACATTCACACATTTTTCTGACCTCACAGACGCTGGATTTGATCAAGCTGAGCGACTCCACCTTCCGTGAGCTGCAGGAGCTCTTTCGCATCATGACGGGCCAGGAGAGAGACGACAGGGAAAACGAGACCATCACCGTTCACGAATTCACCAGCGCCTTCTTGCGAATGAAGGATCACAGCCTCAGCTCGCTGGACTTGCTGACTCTTCTCGGCGGCTCGCGAGATGTCAAGGCCATCATGAGCAAAGTGGTAGACACGAGACATGCACACACCAGAAGGAAAACAGACAAAAACTCCTTCTACAGGAGAGGAAGCTGGAGCGGCTTGCGAAGTGCCTGTCGCTCTATCCGACGTTCCGTGAGGCCCTCAAGGGGGAGATCAGTGCGCTGGCGACGAGGGAACGACATGAGAAAGAGCTCTTTCTCTCGAGCCAGCTGTCGTCCGACCAGCCAGCGTATTTCATAATCCACGACGACGAGAACGCACCCATGGGCGGCTTCTTCCCCGCACCACATACACACGCACCGCCAGCCGCCGCTGACGATGACCTCCCAACGACGCCCCAGTAGCGCGCCACACAAGCTGTGAATCGTCGCTCGTCCGCCCCGCAGATGGCCAACCCAGCTGCTGTCCTTTTGCTGAGCCAGTACTTCGCGGAAAAGAGGCGCCAGCGGGAGATAGAGAAAGAGACGGAAATGGGCGGGCTGTCCATGTCCAGACGGGTGTCTTGTGTGACTCCTGCGTCGAGGCGCGGCAGCTCACGCTTTGAGGCGTCAAGGAGGAGCTCGCGTGTGTCTGTCAGGGGCACGGCCAGCCGTCGATCAATCTCATCAGCGAGAGTGCCCACAACGCCCTCCAGCAGATCGGTAAGTAGACTGGCCAGCGACAGAGTGGGAGACATATCTTTTCCATTCATCGCAGGACATTAACGGTGTCATGCGGCCCATCACGTGCCGCCCCGTGGTCTCTCTCTTCTCCTCACAAACATCGACCCTCCCGATACCGACGCTGCCGCTTCCCCCAATGCTGGCTGACAGCGACCAGGCCTCCCCGTCGATGGCCGACCTGCCAAAACCTGAGAGTCCCCATCAAGGCTGGACGGGGGAGATGAGCACATACACGCCGATGAGGAGACTGACCACCAGCAAGGCAACCAGCAAAGGTGCGCACACACAGGGAAAGAATACCTATGGGGCCTTGATGTGTGTGTGTTGTGGATGGATCGTCAGAGGCGTCCCGCGTGTCGAGTAGAAAGAGACTGTCGTTTGTAGACCACCCCGCGGTGACTGACACCGACGGCAGCATGTCCGTGTCACCCACGCCCAGCGTGGCCGCCGTACCCATCCGGCAGAGGCAGTTTGGACGTGTGTCGTGGTCGCCCTCCCTCCATGTAGAAGAGCATCCCACTACGCAGCCGGTTAGGTTGGCTGACACAGTAGCCGACAAACATGACGAGAGCATCCAGTAGAACGAGCAAATCGTTGCGCTGTAGTGCATGTCCGACCGACGGCGTGTGTTTGACTATGTTGTGACGTTGATTTCTTTGCTCAGCCGGAGCTCCATGACGGACAATTTGTTTGTTAACGAAGGATAGTTGCGTTCGTCAGGTTAAAGTACATTGCGTGCTCATTATATATCCATTTATTCGTTCATTCATCACCGATATAATTCAAAGTCTATATACCCCCACGCACAGACCGCCCACGTCCATCAGAACAACACGATACACACCGGCTCCCTCCCTCCCTCCCCCTGCCCCCACGTCACGCACTCATCTTCTCCAGGACCTTGACAGTCCTGTTGGGCGTCCACAGGTGCGCATTCTCCAGATCTATCGCCTCCCGATGTGCCATTGGCGTGGAGAAGTCGCCCGCATTGCTGAGCGTGCCCGTCCCCGCTCTCGGTGTGTACATGACCGTCCGCTCCTCGGCGGCGTGTGCAGGTGGCAGAGAGGGCGGGAAGGGCGGGCCGCCGGATGGGCCCTGCAGGGTGGCTGCCGTTGTCGACGTGGTGTTGTTGGTCTTGTTGAGGTCCCGCTGGCTCACTGGCCGTGACTGGAAATCGGGGAAGCGGCCGGCATTGGATGGAGGGGGGAGGGTGCATGTGTTGGGCGGTACACGCAGCGGACGAAACTCCTCACCCTGAATGAACCAGGCCAACAGAGAGAAATCTATCCATCCACCCGGCGTGTCGGCTGGTCTTTTCTCTCTTACCACGTCAAGGGCTATGTTGGCACACGAGCACGACGACACCAGGCTCATGACGCCGCTAACTACTCCATCAGCCATCTGCTGCACATCCCGCAGCACCTCCATCCGATCTGCCGCGTTCCCCATCACCTCAACGGACAGGCTTCAAATGTGGTGTAAATCGACAACATGAGAGCGTGCCCTCCATCTCTGCAAAGCGAGGATGGCGTTGTGATGAGTGCGATCTTTGCGATCTGCGAGCCCAGAAAGAAAGGCGAACCGACAGGGGAAGAAGCGGCTGACGATGATCTCTGTCGGCTCGGGCGCCACCGCCCCTGACCCGTTGCCGCCTCTCGAGGAGGCGATAGCGAAGGAGAGGGACGATGCTGCCTCACCTGCTGCCGCTGGTGGTGGCGGTGGTGAGAGGTCGGGTACGCAGGACTACCAGCAGCGCAAGTCTGGTCCGTGGCTGCATGCCTGGCATGACCCGGTGGCCGGCATGGTCTGCTTCTCACAGGTCAGAACGTACAACAGACACATACATGTATCCATGAGAGGATGGCGCATTTGATTTGTGTGGATTTATTGTTGTTTGTGTCTGTCTGTCTGTCTGTCAGCACATGTGTGTGGCTGATCTGCACGGGGACGGGGACCACCGGCTGGTGCTCGTCGACAGGAAGAAACGGATCCGCATATACCGAGGTGGGCACCATCACACACACAGCCACACACATGCCTCATCTCATCTGTTGTGAGATGGTGTTTGTTGCGATGCGTGTGCAGGTACGAGCATCCAGTGGGAGCAGCGGCTGCTGGAGCCTCCTGTGGCTGTCCAGTGCTTCTACCATGACACCGCCACACCACGTACCACCACACCACACACACCCTGGGGATGCATCATTCTCCCTTCCTCCCTTCCTCTCTGTTTGGTGCAGCGATCCCGACTTTGGTGGTGGCTGCGGGTCACCAGCTGTTCATCTACCGGCATCTGCAGCCGTACATGAAGTTCGCACTGCCCCCACTGCCCATCGACGAGCGCGAGAAGGACACCTGGAACCGTTTAGAGGGCTTACCTGAGGGAGAGGGCGTCGAGGAGGCATTTAACCAGCTCATGAAGTTGCGGTGAGCTCTTTGTGTGTGTGTGTGATGGAGAGAGGGGAGGGAGGGATGGAGGGAGGGAGGTGCCACATGCACTTTCTCTCCATTTGTGTGTGTGTGTTGTGTCAGTGAGGCTGGCGTGCAGTTGAGCCGTCGGTCGATGGACCTTCTGGCAGTAGACGATGTGGCGCAGAGGGCCAAGACGGCGGAGGAGCACAAGGGTGTGCCGCTGGTCCAGCTGCCCGCCATCTCATGCATGGAGGTCTGCGTGCCCCTGGGAGGGAGGGTGTCAGGTGTCTGCGCGTGTGCATATGTGTGTGTGGTTGCAGACGCTGCGCCAGAACATAGACCAGCCGACGGGCGTGTCAGTAGTGGTTGTGGCTGCCGAGGCGTTCTCGCACAAGGGCATCATATTCATACTCAACCCACATGTCGACAAAATACTGCGCAAGGTGGGTGGGTGACAGAACCAGGACCCCCAAGCCATCCACAACACACCCAAGTACGTTTCCTCCTCCCTCCCCCCCTCTCTCTCTCTCTCTCTCTGTCTGTGTGTGTGTGTGTCTGTGTGTAGGTGGAGCTTGACGGCACGCCTGCCTTTGTGCACTGCCTGGGTCTGTATGACGTCGAGTACCGCCTCACCGTCGCCACGCGAGACGGCACCGTCCACACCATCAAAAACGGAGCGGTGAGTCAGTCCGTGAGCAGCCAACATGCAGACGACAGACGCCTGACTCTATGTGATTGCTGGTGTGGCTGTGGCTGGGGGTTTATGTGTGCCCGCAGTTGTTGGGCAGTGCGGTGGAGCTGGAGACGCCGTGCTGCGGGCTGGTGCGGCTAGACAAGTTCATCTTTGTGGGCTGCATGGACAGCGTCATACACGTATACCACTTCAAGGTCAGTCTGTCTGTCTGTCTGTCTGCACACACCCTCGTGTGTGTCTGTGTGTGTGGCCATCTGTCCGCCTGTGTGTGTGTGTGTGTGCGTGTGCAGGGCAAGAAGAGCCACTCGATCCATCTGCCGTGCCCCCTGACCACTCTCACCGGCCTGTCGCTGCCCAGACTGCGCGTGCAGCGGGCCCTTCTCGTCACCCTCAACGACGGTAGGCACACACACGCACACACAAATGGGTGGATAGATGGATGGGCACATGGCACTCTCTGTCTGTCTGTCTGTCTGTCTGTGTGCAGGTCAGGTGCGTCTGTACGGCAACAACGGCAAGGACCTCCTCCACAGCTTCTCCCTCCTCAACGACGACATCGTCACCGGCGCCCTCTTCGGCCAATACGGCCGGGAGGAGGGCGCCCTCGTCCTCTCGTGCAAGTCGGGGGCCATCCTGGTACGCAGCCCCATCCCCCAGACACACAACACACAGCCGCATCTAAGCCTCTCTGCCTGCGTCTTGATTGATCAGGTGAAGATCCTCTCACGCACCAGCACCTTAGAGCCGGCGCGGAGCGGGTCGTCGCTGTCCGATGGAGAGGAGGCCACCGGCGGGCCCGTGCCGGCCGAGCAGGACGTGCCTCTGAACATCCCCAAGAAGACGCGGCTGTACGTCGAGCAGATGGACCGGGAGCGGCAGAGTGCCGTCCACATGCACAGGACATTCCAAAGGGACCTCTGCAGACTCAGGCTCAAAACAGGTCTGTCGGTGTGGGATGGACACGCAGAGAGAGGCTGGGCGGTCTGTGCATGGGTCTGTGTCTGTGTCGTGTGTGGTGCTGTCCGTGCAGCCCGGGCGTATGTGAGTAATCTGGTGGACATGGGCCAGAGCCCCACGAGTGTGCCGTCGACCAGCGGGGCCGGGGAGGCCCACCTATCGCTCACCGCTGACGTTATCGGACTCACCGGGCCGCACTTCGACGTCCAGCTGAGGATTCACAATGCAGGTACGAAACAGACCGGCCGGAAAAAGATGCACCCACAGCCTAATCCTCTCTCTCTCTCTGTGTGTGTGTCAGGTTCCCACGCTCTGTCCAACGTGTGTGTGATGTGTGTGTCGAGCCCGCCCGGCCTCTACGCCCTCACCCCCGCCATGGCCCCCCTCCCCCTACTGCTGCCACAACACACATCCGTCCACACCATTCGGGCGCAGGAGCAGCCACCGGAGGGCGGTGGGGCTCCCACTGGTGCGGGCCAGGTGCGGTGTTTCGTCGTGAGGATGGCGGTGGAGGGGCGGGGTCACCAGGCCGCCCGGCCGCTGACGACGGTGTATGTGCAGATGCCGATTAGTGAGGGTGGGTAGACTCACTCGTGGGGCGGTGGGTAGGTGGGGCTGTGTTGTTGGCACCGTGGCGTGTTGCATTCGGAATGAGTCCATGGGCTGGTGGCTGGAGACTGCAGTAGAGAGAGCGACAGAACTGTCTTCACCTAGTTGTGGGGTGTTGTGTGGCGCTCGAGACACTCTGCCCGCCTGACGCGCCTACCAAACACCCCTCAGATGAGACGACACCTTGCTGCCCCGTGTGTGTGTGTGTGTATGTGAAAGGGGTGCGGTGCGTTGTATTCTCTATATGGTGCGTTGCATGGTGCACATAACTGGCTGACGTGTACAGATCTCTTCATGGTGTGTGTATGCAATGCCATGTTAGGGTGGACGCTCAGATGCAATCAAAATCACTGATGTTCCTTCCATTCGCTACATTCAAACAAACTGACGATGTCTTCAGTTTAGTCAGCGAGACAGGTAAAAGACTCCAGAACCAAACAGGCACACAGATCGATGCACATCCCCACGTCAATACCAGTCACGGAAGCGGGCCGACCGTCTCATTTTCCAGTCCAAAGCGCCTCAGCAGCTGCCGCACGGCAGCCACGGTGACAGGAAACCGCCCATCAATCGGCACCCCATGGCTGACCGCCGCCTCGGTCGTCCTGACCACAATTCGCTCTTCAGGGAGAGAAACTGACGCCACAACAGAGCCGCCACCCAGTAACAGCACCAAAAGCCGCATCGGAACGTACAGAGGGAGAAACTCTGTCGAGGAGTCCACTCGCGAATCGACGACGAACGGGTCAGATTCGCCGCTGAAGGCATCCCGCAGCATGGCCCGATAGCCACCGCGCCGCCCCACTGTCACATCGAGAATGACATTCATCAGGCCCGGGGCCCAAGGAACACTGAGCCGCTCCAGCAACGTGTCGAGGGCAAACGCGCTGAATGAACGGTAGACTCGGAGGGGTGGCTCACTGGAGCTGATGCGCGAGTCAGTATGTCGACAGGTCCGACGCATGAATGGATGCAGCCGCCACAGCCCGTCTCCATCGATAAGGCGCAACCGCCTCTCGCCGAATCGATACCACTGCACCGCCCGCTTCCTTTGGTGGAGCAAAGATGGAATTCGCCATCCGATGTAGACGGCAAAAGCAATAACGAACGCACAAATCAAAAGGCTAGCCGCCAAGGCAGCAATCCAGGACAACACGGGCCGGCCCGAGAGCAAGCCATTGCGGACCCCCTGGTAGGTACACAACATGCTCTGCACAAGGACCCAAGCGAACCACCGCAGATAGATAAGGTAAACGGCTGCAGTCAGGAGTTGCACCAGCGGATGGAGCGACATGACAGCGACAGAGGTCTCATCTCTGGAACTCTCCGTCAGCTGAGCGCCACTGCCGAGAAGACCGCCAAATATTTGGCAGACAGCCATGGCAGCAGGCAGCCGATGGAAAGTTTCCTTGTCGGGCACATTAGCCGCCACACTCTCAGCCGACAGCACCACAGGCAGCTGGCCAGCCGCACCGCAGGCACCTGCCACCCTGATAAATCTGGCCATATGGCGCCACTCAGCCGCCCGCTCGATGACGTAGGCACAGCGAGCGAGATACCCAAATCGCGAGAGGGATGGTGGGAGGGGAGGGGCCGAGGGGTCGACGCCGCGGTCCCTCTCCACATCGACGAGGCCGGTGAGCTGCTGTTGGGCGAGAGAGCTGTTGATGCGACTGAGAAGGAACGCCTCATCGATCAGCTGAGTGCCGTAAGCCTTGCTGACTCCCCGGAGCCTTACAGCATCGTCGACAGGCAGGAGAGGGATGACCACACGGGCGAAGACGTCAGCAGAAAGCCCTTGGTCAGCGCCAGCACCACCAGCAACGACGACCGATAGTGGCTCGGTGAGTGAATCATCACCTTCATAATAACAGAGCCGACAGAGCCAGCGCCATGTCCACCGGAGCCGACTCATTCGACCGGCAGCGACAGAGACTCAGAGATCTGGAAGATCACGTGTGTGGCTGCATGGGGGAGCAGCGAGGAGCTTCCTGTGAAAGCAGCAGCGGTTTCGGCACTGTCGCTTCCTAGGCTTTTTCGACCTCCGTGAAACTGACAGCAAGTGAGGACTTCCTTATCACCTGAGAGGACTTCCTTTCAGCAAGATCCGAACGGATCCCTCACTCCATACGGATCCCTGACTCGAAAGGGCCATCTTTGCTTCATCTGGTCATCCACCCTTCTGACTTTCGTGACAGCTTCACTTGTCTTTGCTCATTGACGAGCTCTCCCACCGTGGTTGCTGAAGGCGGAGCACTGTCGTGCTCGTTCACTCCCCTTTGCGATGAACGGTCTCGTCGAACCGTCTCTTCGGGTTCGCTTCGCTGAAGATGGCGAGGGAGATGAGCCTATCGTGGTGCAGGAGAGCGTGGCACAACAATTCGGCTACTTCAAAAAGGTTTCGAAGGCAGCAGAGACACAAGCAAGATGAAAGAGTGACGAATGATTCATTGCTCGTGGCTCTGCTTGTGTTGTGTTTGGTCGATCAGGTGTTGGATCATGGCGAGTTCCAGGAGGCCCAGCAGCGAGAGGTCTGCATCAAGGAGGTCAGTCGAGCCGTCGGTGTGGTGGTGCTCCAGCCCGAGCTTGACATAGTGGATTCGCTGACCAAGGACAACCTGCTGGACGCGATGATCGCACTCGACTACCTCCAATTCGCTATCCACGAGATCTTCACGAAGAACAGCACACAGGGCCTGCTGTGGCTTGTGCAACGAAAGGTCCGTCAGAGGTTGCTGGGGCGCCCAAAACGAAGGACACATGTACAGCCCATTTGGCGCCTTGTATTGTTGATGTGTGTGTCAGGTTGTTGTCGAGGGCTGGCTCGCTGATCAGCATCTGGCCGCCGCCATTCTCGACAGCTTCGGCCGCTACGCTTGCGTCGCGTGCTTCATCCACCAGCACAAAGACGTGCGCAGGTGCCTGTCGCCGTATGTGGTCAAAAAGCCGTCCGTTATCCGTGAGCAGTGGCGTCGGTGTGTTCGAGGGGAGGAGGCAGATGACGCTGCTAAGGCGGCCGTGATGCTGATGCACAACATGGGAGTCGGGCTGTCGTACAAGGATATGGCCCTGTCTCCCCAGGAGCTCGGCGAGTTCCTGATCGCTGCTACGGGCTCGTCATCGCTTGCTGCTGCTCAGGGTGAGATGAAGATCAGCACTTGCCAACACTCCTCATGCATCATTATCCGCTGTGTCCTTTCTTTTCAACGATTAGCGGCTGTCTTCGAGAAGACCATCTTCACTTTTTCAAGTGTCGCGACGGTTTCTCCCTTCGCCAACAGCCAGCAGGAGTCCGTCACGTGCCTCGGCTTATCCATCAAATGCCTCGGCCTGCCCCATCCTTCATCTGAGACTCAGGAATCGCCCACTACCTCACAGACCAACCTGCTACCGCCTTTCAGCGCCATCCACGATGGCAACGTCAAACTGGTGGATGTCGCGGCATGAAATGTGAGCTTCTGGAGGCCAAGTGGCGGCGAGGGACAGTTCAATGTGTCGTGCTATAGCCCCACGGTGGAGCTAAGGATCCCTTCGTCCAGTGATAGCAATACGCAACAGGCGGCGAGCGTCGACGGGGCTGCCGATGGTGCTGCTAATCCCGCTGGTTTTCGACTCCATCAATGCCCAACTATTCCGAAGGCGATCGAACTGGAGCAAGGGTCTCTGCCTGTATTGGGTTTTAGGCTGCTGGGGCAAGAGTCTTCCCTCAAGTACACCGTCCCCAATGCTGCTGCTGATGCACTAGTGGCAGCTGGGTTAGGAGACGCCCGATTGAAGGACGTCGTCATGACCGTGTCCCGAGATTACTTCCCTATGCGCGTCTTGGCCCTGCACTACGTGCTGATGTGCATTTCGGCGGGTGCTTGGGACGAAGTCATGTCAATGGCCAGGTGGGTCGGGTGCGACACCATGAGACGGAACGCGCTCAGGAGCTGTCTCTATCTCTCGCTCTGTGTCCGTTCGCGCGCGCGCGCGCGCGTGTGTGTGTGTGTGTGTGTGTGTATGCAGGGCGCTTCACCGTACCGTGTCGAGAGAGATGCTGAGGACATTGTCACATATAGCCAGCCCACTTCCGCTTTTCTGGTCGGCTTCGATTCGTCGTGTGTGCCGTCCAACTACGTGTGTGCCGTCAACTACGTGGGAGACCCTGGTCCGGATAGCCCGCGGTCTCGACTGGCTATTCTACATCCGAGACGTGCCCGACCTCCTGCGAGTCACGCCGATGCTGCCACTCGAGGTACAGCAGGCCTTCAAGAGCGCTCTTCAGGATGCGGTCACCAGCCGCATGTCCATTCCGCAGCCAGCCGCGCCCACACAGCAGCCAATCGCCGCTGCGTACGGGCAACCATACGGACAGCCAATGGGCCCTCCACCACAGCCACTCGGGCCCGGACAGGGAGCGCGTCCTCAGGCTCCACAGCCGCTCGGTCCGCAGCCACGCGGTCCCGCACAGCAGCCACGCGGCCCTGCACTCGGACAGCCAATGGGCTCTGCATTCGGACACGCAGTGGGTGGACAGCCACGCGGCCCAGCGCAGCAAATGGTTCATTCACAGGCGCCCAATGCCAACTTTGCGGCACTCTGTGATGTCCTCATCCAGCACGCCCAAAAGGTCAGGACAGGGCTGGTCGTTTCTGCGAGTGTCTCTGACTTCGTTTGACCCTCTGTTCAGAAGGAGGCCGATCGCCAGCGCCTGAAGACCGAGAATGATCGCCTGCGGCAGGAGATAGAGGTGCTCAAGAACCAGGTAGGTAAACGTGCACACGAAACCGATTGCAGTCTACCACTGGGCGAAAGGAATCTCGTGTTGTCTGTCAGGAGCGTCGCGGGACGAAGCGGCCGCGTGATGATGAGGGTCAGGTCGAGTAGGATGGCCAGTGCGGTGACCGACCAGGATGGCGTCGCGCCGGCGTTGGAATTTTGTGTCACGTATTGCTGTAATTAAGCGCTGTGTCGTTGGTGCGAGAGAGGCAGATTGCTGTGAGCAGTTGTGGAGCGGGTGTCTTCGTGAGTGAGAGTGTCTGTCCATCGCTTCCTCTCTGGGAGGACCTTTATTTGGGCTGTCGGTCGCGTCGCTGTCGCCCGTTGCAGGCGCCTCCTTTTTGGGCTTTGAGCGTGCGGCGGGCTCTTGGATGTCTGACTGCGTTCGCGCGTGCTATGGTGTTGTTGTCTGCATGCGAAGTCAGTCGAGTTGATGGCGTTTTATTCATGTCGTCTCCTTTTTTGGGCGACCATCTGCTGCTATACTGATGCATTTGCGAGGTGGCGGTGCCTTTTTCGCTGTGTCATCCTCTCTGCCTGTCTGTCTGTCAGCCATGTGACCACTTTTTTGCCTCACACGCAGACTTGTGCGGCTGGCATACGTTCATGTAATAGCTACTAGAGGTCTGTCTGGTTTGTCCATTTGGCGCGAATGTGCACGCACCCTGCCTGTCAGTCAGTCCGCCAATCTACGTGCAATCTACGTGACACATCAGTTCCTCCCTCCCTCCCTCCCTCACACGCCCTCATCCATCCATCCATCCATCCATTCATCAAGCGGCCTTCAGCCGCCGCCCACCACAAGCCGGCAGTGGATTCCACTGCTCTCTCCTCTCACCCACCCACACACACACACTCACAACCACACACACACACCCCGATCTATCTAGCTCCCTAGCTGCCGCACATGAGGCACTCCTCCTCCTCGTCTCCCGTGTTGCCGCCCCCGCCATTCTTCTGCGCCCCCTTGCCCGGGCGGTAGGGGCACACCACCATCTGGCTGCTGCTGGGGTTGGGCGCCACCTGCGGCTTGGCCGGGCTCCTCTGCAGAGTGGCACCCGCCCCCTGCTGCTGCTTGGTGGGGGTCTTCTTGGGGGTCTGCTTGAGCGTCGTGGTCTTCTTGACGCGCTGCGGCGTGGTGGGGCCGGTCGTGGTGGTGGCTGTGGGCTTCTTGAGGGCCTGCACACACACACACACACACGCGCACAAAGGAACAGAATTGTGGCTGGCGGGAGGGTTTGTCGGTGCTCTGTGTGTAGGCTACTACTTACGGCCGAGTCGACGGTGAATTTGATGGGGTCGGCGGCGCCTTGTGTGCGGAGGTAGTACATGCCGGTCTTGAGGCCCTGCCGCCATCCGTAGAAGTGCATCGAGGAGAGCTTCCCGTAGGTGGGGTTGCCCATGTGGATGTTCAAACTCTGAGACTGCATGACACATCATGATGAGAGAGAGAACGACCAACACACATTGGAGAGACAGAGAGACACATTGGCTGTGGGGGTGAGCTGAGCTGAGTAGGGATACCTGGTCTATGAAGGCGCCCCTGTCTGCCGCCATGTCGATGACGGTGCGCTGGGAGATCTCCCACACCGTCTTGTACAACGCCTTCAACTCCTGCATCAACACATCCATCCATCCATCCATCTGTGTGTGTGTGTGTGCGCGTGGTTACGTCGGGTATCTCTTCTATCTGCTGGACGGATCCGTTGCCTGCGATGAGCTGCTGCTTGACGTGGTCGTTCCACAGGCCCAGGTCGATCAGGTCGCGCAGCAGGTGGGGATTCACTATCACAAACTCTCCTACACACACACACACACACACACAGAGAGAGAGAGAGAGATGGCCATGCACGTGGACATTTCTGTGTAGGAGGGATGGCGCACCGGAGAGCACCCTGCGGGCATAGAGGTTGGACGTGTAGGGCTCGATCGACTCGTTGTTGCCTGCAGTGCACACCACACACATCAGGCACAGGACATGTGTGTGTGAACGAGCACTCATCCGTCCATCCATCCATCCATCCATTGATCTCTCACCTAGAATCTGTGAGGTGGATGCCGTGGGCATCGGGGCCACCAGCAGCGAGTTGCGCAGACCCACTGACATAATCCGCCGCTGACACACACAGACACACACAGACAAAGCCAAGTCCCCAAACTCGTTTCATGTGTGTGTGTGTGTGTGTGAGAGAGAGAGAGAGAGAGAGAGAGACCTTGAGGGCGTCCCAGTTCCAGAGGCCCGACCCAGGCTTGACACCCCAGAGGTCGAACTGCAGCTGGCCCTTGCTCGCGGGAGACCCGTCAAACGTCGAGTACTTGCCTGCACACACACACGGATTGATGAGGCATATGGACACAGGAGGCGTGAATCTCTCCTTGTGGGGAAGGGCACGTACCGTCTTTCTCGGCTAGGTCGCAGGAAGCCTCGCAGGCGGCGAAGTAGATGGTCTCGAAGATGTCCTTGTTCACCTGACCGCACACACAGGATAGGAGCACACACGCACCGGCGGGGCGGGTGGTCTGTGGTCCGACTGAGTCCATGCGTGTGTAGCTGTAGGTGCATCTATCTCACCTTGCGGGCCTCTGGCGACTCGAACGGCAAACGCAGCAGCAACAAGGCATCGGCAAACCCCTGCACACACACACACACACCCGTAAGCATGCGTCGAGGGATGGAGCGATGGATGGATGGATGGATGCCCACCTGGACGCCCAGTCCGATGGGTCTGTGTCTGAAGTTGGACCGGCGCGCCTCCTCTATGGGGTAAAAGTTACGATCGATCACCTTGTTCAGGTTGGCCGTGACAACCTTGGTCACCTCTAAAGACACACACACACACACCCATACACACCCGTGCCCCGCGATCTGTGTTTGGTTTGGTGGCAACCGACCGTAGAGTTTGTGGTAGTCGAACGTGCCGGTCTCCGTGTCGACGTACTTGGGCAGCGCCAGGGACGCCAGGTTGCACACTGCTATCTGCAGAGCC